ATTCTCCGTGATCCCCCTATATTCCTCCGAACGATGACCATCACCTTTTTTCCGGCATTACACTTTCCTTCGAAATAAACGGCCAAGAAACGAACCTCACATGCCTACAGTTTTCTAGAGCTAGTGTTTTTACTTATGCCTTATTAGGAAAGGATTTTGGGTTGCGGTGGCGATTATCCTACGGATAAAGGGTTTCAATTAGCTTTCTGTATGACTTTTTGGTGACCCTATACAAAAGCAGTACTTCAAAATCGGATTTTGAAGAAACAGAGACGTTGGTCTAAGCTGAAAGGTCTTGATAGCAGTACTAGGAAGTAAACGAATGAAAAACGAAACCGCCGACATCTTGGATGGCATGTGAGCAGCTTTGTGTTGTGCTTGGGTTGACATTGATATGTAACCAATCATGTTATTTCATACCCTTATATCAGGAAAGACCGCAAAACATCCAGATTGGTAATACAACCTGTCATCAATGCGAGGTACAGATTCCCAACCGCAGTATCAGCGACATGTCTCAAGTGTTTAACTTCATTTCGACACTTAAATTAGCCGTGAAAGTGAGTCGTTTGCCTGACGATAAAAATTATGCTTAAACTATAATCCGGTCGGTACTTAAAAGTGTTAGAACTATGTTAACACTTACAAAAGAAAAAAGTTCAAAACGCCTCCTGGTAGTAAGCCAACATCTCCTATTCCTATTGATCCTTACAGGTAGAGTGATGAAGTATCAGTGTTGGCGCACATTCTCCTGTGACATCATTACTAAGTGGCAAACAGCCATGCTTGCCGAAGCGAAGATACGGGCAACGAGCGAGGATCGGTGAATTGTACAGAACCCACTGCAACTAACAATACATTGTACTTTAAACTAATCAGTAAAAAGTCTAAAATTTCAACTCCAGGTGAGAAGCCGCCCGATGGCATTATGACAGGACAACGGCCTCGAAACCGGCGCGTCCATTACAGTAAGCGGGAAAAAAAAACATATTCTGAACTTACAATACAAAAAATGTGATACCAGACGAAAAGAACATTAAGTAGTGCGTGATCTGAGTGAATTCAGGAGAAAAGTCTGCACAGTGCTACAGCAGCAGTAAATCTAACACCGGTTACACACAAAATGTAACGAGTAATGAGAGTTCCGCATCGGGTCTTGTGAAAAAAAAAAAACTACTTCCAAAAACCACCACCGTATCAGCTAAAACAAACCAAATATTATTTTACAACTATTAAAATGAAAACCACACCCATCTGTTATGATCCGACAACAACCCCATTCGTTTCATCCGTCGGCCTGTGTAGGTTTTGGTGAAAAAGGGGAAAACACATTTGCAAGGGCGGAACTCGGGTAGCTGTTACACACCTAATTCATACCCAAAGCGAAGGACCGTAGTACTCATCCTTGAGTTAAATTTTAAGTCGCCGGTAGTGTAATTTGAATGCCTACTACGGAATCTCAATGGTACCAGCAAAAAACATGGTAAAACCTACAGGAACAGGAATGTGGAGACTCAAAAGCGTTCGAAAAGTAATGTCTGCAGCATTAAAATCAACAGTACCTTTATGAAATCAAAGCAGACTGTGACGCTCTCGTTTTCAATTCGAACATTAGGCTGTGGGTGAGCTAGGGAACAGGTCTCCGCGGTGAAGGGACACTTCTCGGTGTCGGGAAGGTTCCCACCGGCCACCATCTCTTTGAAGAAGGCCGGGCAGACACGCATCTTGAGCCAAGTGGAGTCCCTCACCGGAACGTTGGCCGCGGCCACAGCGGAGGCCAGGCTTGCCAGACGAACTGCAGTGGGATTCGGAGGGAGAGCTGGGACAACTGCCGGAGATGAGGGAGAGACAAGGGAGGACCCCATGGGGTTATAGACCGTGTTGTTTGGAGGTAATTGGGCGGGCTTGAGGGACACCTGAAGAGTCGAAAAAGGTGGTTGGACTTTTGGCGGTGGCCGAATACCCAGAGGTATCACGGGGGGTTGGGAATTGACGGAGGGAGGGGGGGGTGGTGGCTGCAACGAGGTATATAGAGATGGCAGCTGCGCATTCGGCGGATTCATGGCCATGTTGGATCCGTGTCCAGCTTGAAACCTGGATTGAATGATGAAAGAAATAACTCAATAAACTGAAACATTAAAGAGTGGGAAATGAATGTGACTTGTAAGCACTTGAAATGTCGACAAGGACGCAGTCTCGAGCTGCTCAAGAAAACATGTGGGTACGCTACCAGCTTCATCAGTAGTGGAGAGCGTTAACACAAAATAAGAGTTGTAGCCTTCGCGTTTAGAATGCTACATTTATGGTATACAAACAGGACGACGTGTTTCCAATTCCAGTCAACTAACTTTAGGCACGACTGACCGATCATCTTCGAGAAGCACTAGAAACCAAACGCAAATCGCAACTGACGAAACCATTTCAAAATAGCTTAAAACTGTTGCGATATTTCCTAGGGGTCGTACGGCTGCTAAAAACAGTTAAGGGAGGACGCAAATCCAGAAGAATACCACAGGGCGACGAAGACTTTCCAGAGGTTAATCACCCCAACTGCTGAGCTACCCTGTGATTAACAAGCTAAAATCAACCATCTCCCAACTAGCCTAGGATGTCAGATTACATGAGTCTAAGGTATGGTAACGATGACTAAGGCTTGAGTCAGACAAAGGAATGAGACAATGCTTTCTGGTCTCCCCTCAATCGAGGAGAGAGGCCAGATCAATTGAGTGCAAAGTCTATTTATTAAAAAGTAGGATTTAGTCCAAACGGAAAGCTATCAGCCTCTGCGGATATTTGTTAGGGTTTCTATGCCGGATGGCCATAGTTGAGTAAACCATGTGTTCCCAGCATTCAAGTTCTACTGTACAAACGTAGCGAGGCCGCATAGAGGCCTGAGAGCAACCCAAAAAGTGAAAACTGGACAACCGAGATTTACAAATACTGCTGAGTGCACAAATTGCCGTCTTGCCAACGCCGCAACCCCGGTACTAATTTTCCGGTGCGCATGAGCACCACCAGGGGTAATTCAGATGGCTACCAGAATGCGGTCGTGAAATGTCCTGATTTTACCCATCAGCGAAGCCGCGGAAGCCAACAGCATGGAACCAAGATTAGAAACAAAGCATTTACGTTAGTCGGTAATTGGGGTACTTAACGAATTGTACAATGGATAGACGGCTGCATTTCTTGACTGACCTGTAGTTATCAGGAGCCAAAACCCAGAAAAAATCGAAGTCGTAAAATGTCACTACCAGAGATCAGAGGTCAGAACTCACGCCTCCGACTGCGCTATTTAATTTAAACTATCTACTCAGTTAATCTGAACTAGGAATATATTGGTGGTTGGGTATAGCCACTTCAAAGGTGACAACAACGATAGATAATTGTAGAACAGTGCTGATATTAGTGGAAACTCAAGACGCAAACAGCAGACTAAACCCAAAAGAGTAAATGCTCCAATTCGATTAATTCAGTAGAAATAACGACTTTTCAAGAGCATGTGACCTGGGAAGTCAGTTAGCATGACAGCTCTAAATTTTTAACAATGCACAGAAAAATAACAAAGTAGAACATTACATCAGCCAGAAGATGGAGAAACGACAGGTCCGAAGGGCAAGGCACGAAATGTCTGATTAATCGTGTGACGCTAGCGCCGCTCAAGGTCACCGTGAGACAGCGTGCACACGAACAAATGGAGACCCGGGTGCACACACGCACGCACCCATGTATGCACATACGCACGCAAACTAAAGGGACCCTTTTTCGGTCTGTCTAGCCTATCACGCTTTTAACATCCAAGCGCGCATGCAAACCAGCTCTGGCCGTCAGCTGATTGGCTGCTCACATGTCACACACCCCTTCGTGCACGCTCAACGCTAACGCCTGTTCAGATAATGGCGATGATGATGATGACGATGTTGATATGACCTCACCCATACGTGCACATCACGCACGCTGGCTGCACGCGTTGGTCTGTTTAGCTTTGAGTCCATACTGTCTGCGCCGATGTGACCGGCTGAACTGCTCTCTGCCCTCCACGTCTGGTTTATGTGCTTTACTAAATGCTCCTTCTTGCTCGTAAACATATGCCAGTAAGAATATCAGGCTGCTACTTTTTTTCACAGCACACCTACCGGATTTTGTCGTTGATAATTTTGCCCTTTATAGGAGTGTGATAAACGTGCCTTTTTTAGAACCTTGAAGGAAATAAGATGAATATTTAGCTGCCCTCCTTTGATTTGTTTCACGCGTGCGATTAAGGCTGCCTCAAAAGAGCTCCACAATTGAATAGACATGCCTTAACTTCGCTTTGATAATTCGACAGTAGGTTTGGTGGTGCTCGTAGTTATTGTTCATTCGTTTAGATTGTCCTTCATGTGAGTAAGCGTTAGACTTCTGATTTTTTTGAACCCTCCTGGAAAAGGCTCTGCTTCTGACACGGACTTACAACCTGGAAACTGAATGACACACCGCAGCTAGTGTCGATGCTGCAAACTAGTATCACCCTAGGTAGTCCATATAAAACTTCCTTATTAACACTAGTACCATTACCTTTAGAGCCTACCATTAATCATTTACGAATCGAGAGCGCAATCATCAAACTGACTGAGCCACAAAATTTAGGGCATATTCTGGTCGGAAAGCGCTAATCAGTTCCTGCAAACCTTCATAAAAATATTTACGGCATTGTTTATTTGCCCTTTTTTAAGCCCCATCTGGCTATCGATCAACCAATCCGAAAGCCATAAAGTATTACTTTATATGTATGAGCGGATAAATGATATTTTTACTGACCAATTAACACAGAGCAAAGTGAAACACCCTACGGTATTTAATTCTGTACAACCTAATGCGCACACAACTGTCGGTTGGGGTCTACATTGTTTTGTCCTGATTGCGATTTTGTTTTGTGACTTTGATCATAGCCTCCTAAACTTTTGACACTGGACCGTGTGAAACAAGGTTTTTCAGCTCTTTGGAAAAGAGGACAATAAATAAGCAGGTACACAGTCTAAATGTACCTCCGTTAACTTATTTCGTTACCCCTGTAGAAGTTTCAGATATAAAGACCGACTCTACGACAAGTACGCTGAAAACCGATTGGTCTTGACCTTTCCACCTCATTTGGGTGACGGCACAATCGGAATGCCCACCATTTTCATAATAAAATCTACCACTTTCAATAAACAAAGGTATCGATTTAACATGGAAGAATTATTCCTTACAAAAAAGCCATTTCAATAAATAATGTAGCTTACAGCAACTTATTCCCATGTCACTTTTTCCCCCTAATGCTTTTATTCATAAAACGGAAATTCAGCACTGGAGATCCAACGCTTAGATCCAGCTTATCGGGAGGGGGGCGGGCGTTGGGTGATGCAAAACCCAGTAAAGTAAGAATAAAGCCGATTTCACAGTTTTATTCTATGCATAAAATTCCATGACCGAACGATTACTAATGTCCTGATTCGTTTGCACTTTCGGGTAGTGTGATGTGCCACAAGTCCAACTAATTGATAAAAAAACTGAAAGTTCACCAAAACATTTATTATGGATGAATTTTAAAATCTCGCATGCACCTTGTCATTTGTTATCTTGAAATGCAGTGCAATTACCTAGATCTAGACTAATTTTTTTATTTTATACTAAATGAGAAGCAACGGTATTTTAAAGGAATGCGCTTTCCGCAACCCTTGAAGTTGCCGATGCTCTGGATTGCGTTTTTAGTCTATCAAGCGTAACCGCTGATGGGGTTTGCGGTCGCTTTTACCCATCGTGTCACCTCTAGGCGCCACAAAGTGAGGACCAGGCTTTGGTTTGATGTGACTAATTCCAACGAAATGACCACGGAAATATCACCAAATGCACAGAACCTCTCATGCAAACCTTTGTAGCTTCACTAATCCATCCATCTACCAAACATTGACTTACTAAATCGTTTGCCTTTAACTGGAGCTTAAACTCCGGCATCACTAAGCCAAATAGTTTACAGGATGGATGGAATTCCGCTGCGAGTGGAATTTGGGCCGATCCTTACTGAATCCTTTAAAGTTGCAATCCAGGGAGTAAAATAGGAAGCATCATACATTGGTAAGGGTCGTTGCATCTTTCAAATTCATAATTAGCCAAAGGCAAAACTAGCACTTGGATTAGGACTTGAAGAATGCAAGAATGCAAAGTCATTAGAGCTTCGATTTTCAAGTAAATTATCCAAATGCGCATTTTAATTCACGGTGTAAACTGATTCCACTTAATTGACCTTTTACAAAACTAGGTCACTATTCGCCAACCTGCTTTACAGGCAGAGCTTTCGAAAAAAATCCAATTGAGGATACTATGGCAGAATATGGAATGAATAGACAAGCTTCATAGGCGTCTCTAATCTACTGCGTTTGATTTTTCATGATATTTAAGCGAATTGAAATAGCGTAAGTTAATTTGCAATGTCGTAACCCAAAAATGAAATGGCTAAGTGGTATAGCTAATGATGTAAATAGGCGTTTGATTAAGTGTAATAGGATGCCTTATGAACCAAAACATTAGCAAATTTACCACTTCGACAAACCCACCTAACGTATGTGGTTAATGGCCAAGAGTGTGCAAGTTAATAAGCGCATAAGGCAATCCCCATCGGTCTGGCATCTTTGACAACCATGACTTTGTAACTCACTTCTCTGTGGGGTAAACAAACCTCCCGCCTCTCACCTTTGAGAATATTATCTGCCCTCGTGAAGAGAGCTGTCTTGTGTGCTGGTTCCTGCGCCTATTGTGTAATACAGATGCCGCCCCCATTCCAATCAGCAGCCGCAGCAATATTCATGGCCTCTTCTCATTCTCGAACATTGACACAGCCTTTAAAATAAAGTAGCGCCTTATTCATTCCCGACATGTGTTTCTATTTAGCTAGACACGGTTATTTTCACTCTTGCTTCTGATTGTTTACCTAAGTGGGCTCTCCAGTCTCCCCACGACGTACTTCCATTTAACCGTGCAGTCCTCAGGCCATGTCCATAGCCCCCCACCCTCTCTGTGCGTTAATAATGTCTTCCTCCATACTGGGACGCTATACTATTACGCCAACTTTAACTTTATTTTCAAGATATCTAAATTACCATTACCTCAGTAGCTTTTGTTTTCCACGATTGGTGTAGATTCTCTATTTCCTGATTTAAAACTGGTCATCGAAAAGTTCAGGATAAATCTGTGGTACTCTTTAATATTTATGTTTTCCACGAAGATTTATTGGACTGCTAACTGCGTTACCTATCTATCAAATAGATATTATTTACAGAATTCATTAAGTCAACAGAGCCTCTACAGTTTGCTGTGTTGAACACATATGTACATGAATTACTAGAAATTGAAGATATTTCAAAATGCAGCTTGACATTTTACAGAAGGCAAAGGACTTATGTATGTTCCAGCCACTAAGTGCTCGTAAACGGGATGAGGATTACTCCCATTCTGAAGCACATTGTTCTGCAAAATTATAAGTGCACCAATTGACCAAAATCTCCGCTGTGGCAAAATTCTGATTGGCAAATATGTACCCAAAATAGAAACGCACCTTTCTGGCAGTCTGTGAAAAGGAACGTGGAGTTTTGTGATCCGTGAAGGTGGGTATTCTTACCCGAATTGTTATTAATTTAGAGCGATAGCACTTACATACCCTGCGTCTACCGAGTTAAAGCCTCACTAAAGACAAAGTGGAGGAGGACCTCGTACCGTCCACAAAGACCTTGCAATCGGTTTGCCATACGATAAAAGTGTTGATTGTCTCCTCCGTCTGACTTTGGAAGGCTAGCCCAAGAACACCAGGCCTCCCCCCCCCCCCCTGACTTTTATACAGGTCCGTGGAATGGTAGAGAACCTTCTTTCCTGGCCGGCAATCAATTTTAGAAAAAATAATCCCGGTAAAAGAAAGATAAAGCAACAAGTTTATTGACCTACATAAAGTGCATATTTAATTATGGGGAAATGAGATGGCGCCTGTTTTCCAAATTAAGGTGATATGTTTTTTTGGAAAATGTTAAGAACGGCTTTTTCGCTTCATTTAATGCCGGCGGGAAAGGTTAACTTCCAATACATTGGTTTCAATGAGTACATAATTTATTTGTTTCCTAATGAGATTACTTTATCCTGGAGAAGACCTATTATTGTTTTAAATCAAATACCTTTGTAAGACATTTATATGTTTTCGTTGTTTTTGAAACTTTGTATTTCGTACTCTAAGACTCATTTACTATGCAGCTACGGTCATCTATTACCCAACACTGGATTTGTGAGATCTGTAAGAAATCGTGAAAAAGAGCATTTAGTTTAACCAATCAACGATTTTGCGTACATATGCGCTTTTCTCAAGTTAGTCTGGCTTTTAAGAGCTCCATACAACACACTTTTTCTCCACAATAATTGCTAAACTGCCGTATCAGCTAATCCCACATTACTAATATACCTGTTTCATTGTTAAAATTGTGACTCATGTACAATTCGTGTTAAAGAAACCTTTTATCAATTGTAATTTCCATCTTCCAGTAACGTAGATAATAAAAAAATGCATGAGCGTAGAAGGGGTATAAGGGCAGTAATACTGATAAATATAGACTTTCCATAATGAGATAATAATGTATCCAAATTACAGCTTATCATCACCATTATCAGTGGAAGCTAAAACGTTGCTGAAAAATATTTCCCTCCATCTTAAAGCGTGTCAGTGTATTCTATTGATTCAAAATGTAGATGTCCGAGAGAAGTAACATGTGTTCACACAAGGCCGCTCTGAGTCATCGCGTCGTTACGATAGTGGCAAAACCAAGTTGGTGAGTCAGGTGGAAAGATCTAGTATGCAGGCCAGATGATGGGAGCGAAGTCAACCCGAATAGAATTGAAATTTGGAGATGGCAGGCGTGAGATTACGTTGATCAAAGACCAGTGGGGGTAATGTGTATCGTATAAGTGGACCATTCCGGTGTTAGAGTCAGGCGATTTGCTTAGGATCCCTCAGAGGGAAAGAACCTGATAGCCAGCCTTGGTGCAAAGCACGAGAACAATTAGCGAAGGCTGTGCAATTACATGTGCAAAAGCACGCCGCTGTAAAATATGCAGCTATGTAAATCAGCCCCGCACAAGAATACGCATATTTTGTGACCTATAGGACTGTGGAATTATTGAATGGACGCAAGTCAGGGTTGAACTGTGCATGAAAAATAAGCGCAACGTCTGGTCTCCAATACTCTTTTGGATCTGTGTGCCCGTCGAAATGTCACATGTAGGAGGTGATTCTGGGCTTGCTGCCCGTCCCAATACCACTGTCATTGGTGCATAATTCAGATGAATTAGACAATTTCATTTTATACTCAGAAATTTGCCATTCTTATTTCCGATAAATTAAAGGCAGGCTTCGCATTGAGTAAACTGGGATGCAGTAACTGCTATTTATATTAACTGATTAGGATGATGTGATATATCCAGTATTTCAGCTGGTTAAGGAAATATGAGAAAAACAATAAGGATTGAGAAAAAGAAGCACTATGATTACTGGTATTGATTTCTTAACTTTACCCCAAATCCCATTCAATGCTGCATCGCTTCAATGAAATGGTGAAAGGCATCTACATGGTGATGGCAAGCTCGGTAGTGTGTATTTCAGCCAAATGACATACTGGGAGCACTGAAATCACGCATCTAGCGGCTTGATGAGCCCAGCTGTGGCCTGCGTCAATGGTTTATCGATCACCGGGTAACGGGCCTACCACCGACAATGCTAATCAAATAAATCGATATGAGGAGCCACCACAGCCTAGCCAGGGGGCTAGAGCTGTGGCCTTGTAAACAAAGCTACGCCGAGCAGTAGATGAGCGATGGGCGACAAACTCGCCACGAGAGCAACTTCAGGTAGTCTTTTTTTGTGTGCCCTTAAGATAAAATGCAGCCATTTAAAATCGCAATATCTGCGCTGCTAAAGTAGATAAATGGATAGGTGTCCGAGTATTCGACAAGGATTTTTTGACACCATCGGAATCAGCTACTTTTCACCACAGTCCTCCACAGATACGTTCATCAACTTGTACGAAAATATGATTTTCTAGGTAAGGTCAGTGGAATATCACTAAAATTTGAAGATGAAAATGATGGACAAACTCAAGCTCTGTTTAATTTTGACGGCTTGAGTGTCTAATCCTGGTAGACGAATTTTAACGGACTTTAAATTACCATAAACTGCCTTGGGTATCATAAGATTCAATCTACCGTTTTTATTTGAAACATAATCGAAGGAATGAATTTAGGTGACGTCTATCTACCATGAGGCCACTGTCACATAATGACATCAAGTGAAACGACCTCTACGGAGATTTACCAGTCCTGAGGATTTTAGCCTCGCAGCTTATGCTATTGAAATCTGTTAGGTTTATCTATATTGATAAATTCTGGACGGATGACTACAGCTGGGAATCCACAAGTATCTGGGATGTGGGTTGACTTAATTAAAGCATTCAGTTACTTGATTGCATTTTCACAGGCCTAGCTGTGACATAGTTATTTTAAGTCAACATTAAGATGTCTTGGCGAATTGAACCCGTTTTTGCTCTCATAATTACGAGCTTTTGCCTTCTAATGTATTCATTTGCAATTTATTAGAAATACGGTGAAGGCACACGTTCAAAGGTTCACAAAAAGAACATTAACATTAGCCTAAACTTTCTCTGTAAATTCCTTTTCCTGATGTACAGCCACATTGTGCTCGCCAATGCGGGTGAAGAGTTTGATCAGCTTGCGAGGCAGACCGCTCTTTTGCGCAGTGGCTACCACCTCCGTGGAAGTGCTGCCTTTAGTTAGGCTGTGGAGAGAAGTATCGTTGGTGCTCTGTGTCACCTCAGAGACGCTTCGCTCTCTCCCCATCTTGAGGACCTCCTCTTCAACATCTGAGTTGCTGCTCTGAACCAGCTCCACAATCCTGGACACCAGGACTTCTAGCATTCGCTGACCCATTTCTACTCCCTCCTGAGAGAGCGGATCTTCCCCGGGGTTCAGCCGAAATGTAATCTTACCTTTACCCCCCTTTTTCGAGTTTGGGTCATCGAAAACGAAGGGTTTCATGTCCATCATCGGCGACTGATCAGAAATATTTGAAAGCCAGTCAAAGATTTGTTTGCCCTGATGACCTCGGCTCTCAAGGAGCTGATTTATCAGTTTAACAGGGAGGAAAGGACACTTTGAAGTGGATTGGAGAGTGGTGTAGTGCTTCACTTCATGGCAGTCGAGGATGCGGCAGAGTGTGACAGTGGGTAGTTTTGCCTCATAGGTCGAGTAAAGGGCGTCAAGGTCCTCCTCAAAGGAAGGAAATCTCTCAACCGAAGGGGGTTCTGTGAAGGCGCTGGCTACCTCCTCGGGAAGTTCCCACTTACTCTGGTTCTCATCCTCGGTGGCAATCAGAGCGGGTCCGACCGTCAAGAAGGCGGGAAGACATTGATTCGGTTCACAAAATTGCTGATCACAGAGACCACAGTTACACCATGACTTCCCTCCGTGCGATACTATTATATGAACCTGTAGCAATGTAACAAGCTGTTGGACAACTACCAATCAGATGGTTTAAGTTGATGCATTCATCAAAGAAGCAAGCTTTAAAGTGGTTGAATTTTCAGGTTGTAAAATTATTATGTTAACTTTTGAACTGTGATAGTATATTCTTTAGGTGTCTAGTTGTAGTACCAATGTCAATGCTGGACAATTAAATTCAAACATATTCAATGCGAAAAAACTTGTGCATAAGGCCCTTGTCTTTTGAATTTGGGGTTTAGCATTCTGCTTGATATAAATGTAAGGTGAACCTACTTGTAGTTTATAGACTGAGTTAAACATAGTGAAGCACTCTGTGCAGAGTCTATCAATGTCCAATGCCCTAACCATTTCCCCCACATCTGCAAGATGTTGTACACGTTTTCGGGTTTCAGGAACATGGAACTCTTCTATGTGCTTTGTTAGGCCTTCTTCATTTTCATAGTCATGCAAACAGACGCGACAAGTGGATTTTGAGGGCTTATGCCTTTTGTTCCAACCACCACGAAGAACCAAACTCTTCCGTTCCACGTCTACCGATTTGTCAAGTTTCTCCGATGGGTTTGTTTGTGTAATCCTTGACTTTCCAAACGCACTCAAGACAGAGCCCACCATAAGCTCTCGTACACTGGGTCCAGGCAGTCCTCTCTTAATTGCATCCAGTTGTCTCAGCTCGCTGGAGTTGAGCTCTCTGCCCTTATCACGAGAGTGAGGCAGTACCGCGTGGTTACAATAGACGTGTGCTGTATACTCAGCGAGGTTTTTAAATTCCTTATAGCACATATGGTTTGCAGGAATCTTCGATACTTCCTCCTCGTTTTTGGACCTATCACTCAGGATCCAGGATTCTTTCGAGCGCACCGAAATTGCATCAATCCAACTTGAGATTTCTGTCTTACTGGGATCATAGAGACACAAAAATGGGGCTTTTGCGTCCACTGTCAATCCACTAGAAGTTTTAATTTCCTTAAAATATGCAAGCCTATTTAGAAATATCAGTTCGGGTACATGATATATGAAAACATGCATTTCTTGCATGAGAAGATTGTCGGATTTAAACTTAGCACAGCAAAATACACATTTCAGTGGATTTCGATGTGGAGAATGCGCAGATACCAAATGAGCAATTAAGTGAGCTCTAGAAGGTAGAATTCGACCCCTACAAAAGATGCAGACAAGAGGACTTCCCACGGCATTCATAAGCGTCTCCACCTCGGAGACCTGTGCAATGTGCTTCACAAAGCATCGATGGCGCAGAACTGTTGTGCAGTTAACTTCTGCAGCACACAGTTTGCATTCATACAGCGGCACCTTTTTGTACTTGTCCACCTTCCCCGTGAGGTGCTTGTGATGGGACAGATGGGTGTGTAGCCCGGAACGTGTTTTAAAATCGACTCCGCATATCACACAGACAGTGGGCTCTGTTTCCACCACACTGGGGCTGACAGCGGGCCAGGGCTTCTTTCCAATCAGCACCTCAGTGTCAGCATGAAGCGAGAGGACTGGGTCGGGTGAGAAGTCTGCCTTTGGATGCGAGTATGAACGCCTACAGTGGTGAATTGGTCGCGGTTCAACGGGTTTTACGGTTTCTACACTAAACCGGAGTGAAATATTCTGCGATTCTTTTGGCATCTTCTATTACCTGTGCTATAAGCAGGAAAAATGTCCACGAGGAAGCAAACGGAGGATGTTTATCGATTTTGGGGAACCACTTTTGGACACGTGTAGGTGGACGTGCCGCAATACACGTGGCAAGCTTAGGTCGCAACGATTCGATGGCAAAGACCTCCTTAATTAGGCAACTTTTATTTTTTTCCCCGAAACTTATAGATAAGCAGCGTTTCTGTATCTTTTTAGTCGCTTGATCAAAATCCAAAACGCCTGAGGTGCTGATTGGTTAGTTACTAATTATGCAATTTTCTAAACATATTTGTCAAAAAAAGGAAAGGGGCTGTAGATGTTCTGTTAGTCTTTTAGTTACTTGATCGAAAGAAAAATTATGTGGGTATGGTGAAAAAAATCACTTAGTAAACCATGTCAATGCACGAATATAGCAGTAGTTGCAAAGTTGAAGTCAAAAGCACAAACTTCAACCGCTAAAAAAATACTAATTTGACCGAATGTTTATGTTATGTGAAGCCCGACAACACCGCAAGGTATTTGACAGAGACGAGAAAACGGCCATCCAATCCACACACACGACACCAACTAAATTGGTAAGGAAAATCATTTAAAAGTGAGCATGAGGGTACAATCATGTTTTGACCAATTCTGACAATTTTTAGACTAGAAAATTTTAAAGTGTGCATGATTGCAGTACCAACTACTGTCTCGAAACCAACAAACAATTTGCGAAAGTGAATTTACTTTGGCAACAGTCGATTGGAAAATTCGCCGATGAGTGCTATCAATCTGTTCTATACATGCAATGCCTCTCTCCGTCAGATGCTTAAGAGGATATCTAACATAAATATGGTCAGGCCTAGGTTCCGGCTCTTGATTTACGAGACGAGCGCCAAAAACCAGTTTTGCTTACTGCCCACAAATGGGCTCTGAAAAGGAACCCACTTTCTGGAACTGTGGGTTATGCAATGCACCTTTGTTTACCTACACCCATCAGGTTACCTGCTAACTAACCTCGCGATTCCGCCAACGTTGTCGCCTTTCGGTGACAGGAAAACCACAATTCACTATGAATTTTGACTCCTATTCCGTACATTGTTAACATTTTGTAGACTATACCATCTTCCTAATCATAGCCC